CCAAACCTAAATTTGTCTTTTTTTTTTAAATTTCTAACTGTTGCTCCTACTTTTTTCCTTGGAGTTCATGTGGAATACATTTAATCCCGCTTTCCCAATGAGACTTTTTTGGAATAGCTCTAATGATTAGAAATTTTTGGGGACATCAGGGGTTCAGTTAACCTCTGCAAATCCCATCTACTCCTCCAAATTCTGTCCTATGAGGTCAAGTAGTAGCTCTTCCCTGTGATAGCCTTTCAAGTACTTGAAAAGCCAGGACTCCCTCTAAAGTTTCCATCCTTTAGGCTAAATATCCTTAGTTTCTTTAGTCAGTTCTCATACAGCCCTTCCCCATGCTGGTTGCCCTCCTCTGGACAATCTTCAGCTTATGAGTTCCCTTATCCTAAAATGTGCTGCTCAGAACTTAACACAACACTCCAGAGATGGCCTAAGCTGGGCGGGTACATGTGGGACTATCACCTCTCTTCTCTTAAGGATGCCTAAGGTCAGGTAACTTTCTTGTCAGGCAGCTGGACAATAAGCATTTATTAAGTGCTTACAATTTGCCAAGTACCGGAAAGTAGGGCTTTAGGGATTTAAATTAGGTGACCAGAGTGATTTGAAGGCCAGGGAAAACAAATCAATTTCTGGTTATAATTATCACCTTTGAAGTATTATGATAAAAGTAAATTATGTATATGTATATAAAATCCAGGTATACATATGTGTATACACATATAGGTGTGACCTCTATGTCTACATCTAGATATATAGCTATATCTCTATATAGCTATATATCTTTCTACAGTGTGTTCCAAAAGGCTTAGGTTAGTTTTAAGCTATAAAAGTTTAAAACTGCACTTAGAATTTTGGGACACCCTGTAGAGTACTTGTTCTTTTTTTTTCAGGGAGGAGGCTAACTAAAGAACTGATAGATTCCGGATGCTTCTGTGCTTATGATGCTATGATGGGATCCCCATGGGCCTTTATTCAAATAAAAAAAGGGTTGGCCCTATCGGGTGAAGTTTCAGGGAGCTGGAGTAGTGACAGCCAACCCTGTTAGTACAATCCTGTTCAAACACTCCACAAACACAAATGAGGCGACCGAACACAGAAATTGCACTGTCAGTCAAGGAAGAACATCAGGATGAAATGCCATCCTTCACAGTTCTTCTGAAGCAAAATAGATATACTACCCCTATCTGAGACTTTTTTCCTCCCCTAACAAATGAGGAAGTAAAACTAGATGATCCCTAAGAATAACACTTCTTGTAGAATGCCATGGGACATTAAGGGACCTTGGAAACCATCTAGTTTGAACTCCTTTTAACAGATAAAGAAACTGAGCCCCAAAGAGGTTAAGTGATTTGTTTTGGGTTATATATGAGCCTAATGTCAGTCTCCAGATTCCCAGGCAAATGTTCTTTCCAGATCACGATGCTTTCTACCTTCCAGCTTTGAAATTCTATATTATTCTATTAACCAATGACTAGAATTACCATCCTATTTCACTTGTTTCTAGTTTAAAAACAACAAGAACAATAAGTTTAACATTCACTCTAAAACCTGGAAGGGGCCTAATTTATTGGGTCATTCCCATGTGTTCTCAACTGACAGATACTTGATTTTCCTCCCATACTCCTGAAGAACATGATTCAAAAACATTTAGTGCAGCCATCTCCTTCCAGCTGTTCCAAGCTCTAAAGCCCTGGAGGTTAAAGTCTTTGAGTCTCAAGCTTCTTTTGTGTCCAATTTTATTAGCTATTTTCATTATAACTTCCTGAGCCAGACCATTATGAAGTCAATACATATTAATCTAATTTAAGAGCCATGTGGAAGAGTGACCATTTAAATCCAATCCTTTCATTTTGTCATGATGATATTCTTCATGGCTTTATCTGAATTGAGTAGTTAGAATATTCTAGGCCATATGAATGGGGCAATCTTATTTTAAACTAAACTATTATATCTCCATTGGCTGATGCATTCTGCTTATATTCAGAACAGAGAATAAAATTCTGATTTGAAGCATTAATTCAAAGCATTGTTGTTGATAAACGTTTTCCCCTTCCCGACCATAAAAAAGCAAACCAAGTTCCATTTTTATTGTTGATGAAACTCAGCCAATTGACAAAAAGACTTCACTGACACTGTGTTGGTGTTTCATCCCCAGCAGGCAGATTTAATTCTTGAAACTGAAAAAAAAAAACCCCAAAAAACAAAACCCAACAACAACAAAAAAAGGACCTTCTACCCTAAAACAAGCTTGTTATTTGGCCAACTGGCTTCAGCCCACAATGGTGAAATTGAAAGAGAAAAGAAGAATGGGAAGAGAGTCGGATTCCAGCTCCATTGTTTCTCTAAGGCTGCTCACGTGCTCACATGGGTGAGTTCAAAGCTTCCCCTCCAAAGTGCAGTGTCTTGCAGGCTTCTAGGGGTATTGACAAATGGGTCCCCACCCCTTTTTCCCTTTCTTCTTAAAGTGCAAATGTGAAGAAGGAGAAATAAAAGTACTAGATTTGGAGCCAAGAGTGTGGATGTGGAATTTTATTTACAGATATCTTTTCAGCTAAGAGCTGGATCCCTTTGGAGGGTGAGTGATAAAGCCCGAAGTGGAGGTGGGGAGAGAGTAGGTAGAAGGCTTGCCCAACCCACCTCTTCTCATGAATTATTTCATCAGTAGCTTTTTCACATGAGGAAAAACAAAACAAAACAAACCACAATTCAGCGAATAGCACGAGCTCCATATGCAAACGGAGGGTGACCATTAACTTATAAGTATGTTGGCCCAGAGTCCTTTATTTCATGAACAGTGTTTTTAAAGTCAGTGAAGAACTCTGTGATGTTTCTTGATTTTTGGCTTGTAAGCCAAGGAGAGCAAGCAGAACAGTGGTGGGCAGCCTCCAACTTAAACACCAAGGAGAAAGGAAGGTAATTTAGCCTCGGCCATACTGTGCCTAGCTCGTCAGCACACTCACTTCTGATGACCTAAACAGAAACACGCGCTTACTCTACAAAGACAAAAGATCTGCATGAAGCTCATAGCAACACACTTGTCAGCTGAGGAGGACCCTGGAACTTATAAGGTGGGGCTGCCAAGTAATTACAAGGGAAAGGGAGCATAAACCCTGTACAGACACCTGACATTGGATTGGAAACGCCAAGTGGAAACAAAACTGGTCAACATCTTCATTTATACATAATTTACAGTATTCAATTCAAAATAAAAATCACAAGAAAAATACATCCGTTTCTACTATGCCTTTTCCCACCCCCACCCCATCCCTCCCACAAAAACAAACAAAAAAAGTGGCTTCCAATTAAAGATATAATTACCACCACTGTCTATATTTTGGTCTAATTCTGAGATCTGGGCTTGGGATAGTTACAACAATAGGAATAGCAATACTTGGAATACAATTTACCCAAAGATCCGCCAGTAGTCATGTATCTTGTTCTCTTCGTATCCAAGAGGTTAAAGGAATGCTGAACAGGTTTGGGGATGAGGGTGGGATGGTGGTGGGGTGGCATGTGAAATCCCTTGGCCAAGTCTAACTTGGTTGGCTAGGGCAAAACCCAATTTCTCTTGCCAAGCATAGCTACCAACAAGGCATTCTACCCTCCCGTAAGCCTTAGATCCATCCCCAGTCTATTGCCTCCAGCTGATAACATTTCAATGGTCCATCTCCACAAGGTGATGCATTAAGAAAAGAAAAGAAACAGATAAACATATTCATCAGGCCTAAGGAAAAGGGGTTTGGGAGTACTGGCTTGGGAGGCCATTCCTAGTGAGCACAAAAGAGAGGACACCAGGTGACAATTAACTAGTTCAGTTACACTTGAGCTTTTGGTCAAGCTAGGTAGGGATTGATTCCAGCAAAAGTGAGGCTTTGTGGCAACTAGTTCACAATTGAAGCTAATGCTATTGAAAGTGGGTTCATGAGAAACCATTGACAAAATGGGAACTGGGAGGAACTTGCCAAGAAGTATCTCTGGAAGGCCATTTCCTTTCCTTAATGTTTCTAGGGGAGAAGGTGAAAGGTGAGGGTAAAGGATTGGCGGGTCCCTTTTTTTTGCAAACTAAAAAAAAAAATCATTTTGAAGGTTAACTCCTCTGGAATGAAAACGTAGATTACGGTATGAAGGTTACAGAACTGCATCTGCTACTGGGTCACCGCTACAGGTCTATGAGCTGATCCACCAGCAGCAAAGACCTGGCTAGGTTGGGAAGACTGGACTCAGAGCTCCCACTGCTGTTTCTAGAGTGCCCACCTGGAAGTGGAGAGATAGGAATTCAGTACAGAACACAAAAGGGTTAAGGTTTAGATGTGCAGAGCAAGCAACCAAGAAAAAGAAAAAAAAAACTAGAAGCAGTAAAAAAAAGAAACAAACTATGCAAGCTGTTTGTTATTGGTTAGAATTTGCAAGAATCAAAATGAACTATTTCTTACCACCCACCATTCTCTCTCTGTCAACCCCTCAAACAGCCACAAGGCAGCCCATGCACTATTCTGTTAAAGGCAGGGCAAATGAAAGCTACCAGTAAAGGTGATTTCCATTTTTGGCAGAGAACAAGAGGCTGCACCCTAATATTCATCCCACCAACCAAGTTAAATGAAATCATTTTTGCTTGAGGAAGGACTCGACCCAATACAACTTTTATGCCCAGAGAGAGACATTAAAATAACTAAATAAATGGTCTTTCGACAACTTGGCGTAGCAGAGAGATCAAATTTTTTCTGACATATTCAAGGTAGAAAGGACTTCAAATATAAGTCCTGGATATATGAGTATAACATTACACAAGGGGTGACCCTCTTTAAGAAGAACATTTATTAAGTTTTTTTTTAAATCTTCCTCCAAAAAAATTTTGTAAAATGTGATTATGGGGATGCATTCCTTCAACTCCAGTTTCTCTGCCCAACCCATAAAGAACTCATAATTCGTTGATTCCTAGCAGGCTGGGGACATTTCTACATAATCTGTTCTCAGCCTCCGCTCCTTGCCTCCTTCTCTCTTACCTTGTGAGTTTTTGGATATCAACACGGGAATGGGGTCAAACTCATCTTCTGCCACCTTTTCGGGGCCCTCAGGAGCATCAAAACCTGAGATGAGATTACTATCTTCTGCAGCGTGAGGTAGGGATGGAAATAAAGAAGCAGAAAGAGCAGAGACAGACGTTAGCTCAGAAAACAATGTTAGAAGACACATAGTTTCCATTAGTATGGTTAGTGCTGTTTTTAGAAGGTGAAAGTACTGCCATTTCCTGAGTTGAAATAAGAGGTAAAGTTCATAAGGAGGGAAAAGTGTCAGGCAAAACATACTGAGAAAACAGGCCCCTGCTGTGATGTATGAAGAAAGCCTCCTTGGACTATTTAAGGATAGAGAAGAGAAAGACATAAAGCACATTTATCTCAGTCTAAAGCTTAAGTCTAGATGCTCTGTCTTATAAGGAAAAAAAACTGGTTATTATTTCTTTGTTGATCATGGTTAAGAAATTGGAAAGGGAAGACGGGCTGGTTGATAAGTTTTCTCTACCTATTTAATTATTACTGTAGTACCTTTTTTTTTTTAAAGTAAGTTTTAGTGATATCTTTTGTTTATACAGCACTGTAGTCTCTGGATATAGAAACTCTTCTCCTCCAAACCCTCCCTGGGAGCTAAGAAAAAAAGGCAATCAAAAACAACCAGTACAGTGACCACATCTAACGATGTATATACTATTTTGCTCTTGTGGTTGCTATCCAAGAGGATGAAGGTAAATTTCATTATCTTATACTAGCATGTATCAAAAAACAAAACAAAACCCTAAAACCTATGAAAATAAACTCTGTGCTGTCTTTATGGACAAATAGAGGACTAACTAATGAGACTTGGACCCAGGAAACTAATTAATGGCTTAAGATTCAAATACTACCTAGCAACTTGCACAAAATACTTCTGAAATGACTCAACTGGGTAGGCTTTCTCATTCTAGGAGAAATTATACAAATGTCTTAGACTCCCTGAGTGGATTGAGGGGGAGGAGATGTAGGGAGGGAAAGGAGAAGGGGAGAGTGAATAAATTTACATGCCAGTTCTCATCCAAAAGGGAATATATTCATGTACAGTGGGAAGGCAGGTAGAAGTCATGTAAATTTATTCCTCTCAATTCTAATTAGAGCTGCCACACCAGCACATCCCAGCTGGGCCCCCATTTTGCAAGGGATGCTGCTCTGTAATTGCTCATTGCTGCTGATGGGCTCATCTGAAACACTGTCAGGCTTAATTGCTTAAATAGGCAACTTGCTCAATAAAAGCGAAATCTTTTAAACATTGTCAAAGGCAAAAAAACCAAACCTCAGCTACTGTCACTGTAAGATGAAGCCTTTCTCCAGAAGCTTTTTTCATTAACCCTCTTAGGACGGGGTGGGAGGGCTAGGAGTCTGCACTCTCTTTAATTCAGAAATCCCACTGTCTTATGGGGACATCTTCATGATCACATGTCCTAAAGTCAAATTGATCAGTAAATAATTGTTAACAGTCTTAGTGACCCCTTTTCCCTCCATGCTAGGGTTTCATCACAAAGATGATGAAATGTGAGTGTAAGAGAAAAGGAGGGCCAAATCCAGAAGTTTGATGATTAAAGATGAATGGAAACAAGGCTTTCCTGTGAGGTCAAGGTCACCAGAGTTGTGGACTCAGATCCAAAGGTACATCTTACATGAAAAGCAACTGTTTGAATGATTATCCTTCCAGAAGAATGTAAACTTGAGGGCAAAGATCAGTTTGTGGTATTAGCTGGGTATCTCCCCCCAGTGCCTAGTAGAGAGCCTTGAAAGTGGAAGGTGGCTAATAAAAGCTTGTTGAATGGAGTGTGGAGCTTCCTTAGTGTAAGGAAGAGGCATGGTAAAAAACAAACAAACAAACAAGTGCTGAACCACCAGCACTCGTAAATAGCCCTGAGTTTAAAAGCACCTAAGTTTTAGAGTAAGTGAATGTTACCATAGAAACTGTCAGCAGTGGTGAGAGCTCTACAGGTCTCCCAAAGAAGATATACTCTAAAACCTAGGAATGGGAATCAGGGCCATTTTGACAATTTTGTTTTAAGTATTCAGTCCACTAACATTAATCACAACTTTAAAAGACAGATCCTCCTTCATGTTTTCCATATTGATCTCTCAACTTCGTAACAGAGAAGATTTGTTGAATATATTTTAATGCAACAAAGAAACTCAATAAAAGGATAGCTTCCTTATTTTAAAAGGCAACCATGACCTAGATCAGGGGTTCTTAACCTGGAATCTATGGGTAGATATCAGGAAGCTGTAAATTTGAATGGGAAAAAAATGAATCTTAATTTTTTACCATAATTGGCTTGCACTGTAATTAAGAAGGGGTCCATAGGCTTCACCAGAATGTTAATGGGATCTAAGACACAAACAAAGTTAAGAACCCCTAACCTTGATGTTCTCTAAAGTCCATTTCAGCTCTAATATTCTAGGTTCTCTGTTCCAAAGGCTCCTTCCAGATCTGACAGTCTATGTTGTAGTTCTTTTAGTTCTAACATTCTGTGTTCTATGTCCTTAAGGGAAATAGCATTGATTCAAATTTAAAGGACTTGGGTTTGAATCTTGGTAAAAATGGATGAGCTGTACTATGTAATTCCTGTATCCGGAAGGTTCCTTTCAGCACTATAATTTTAAGGAAATCTGGAAGCTCTGACATTCTAGGTTCTAAGGTATTTTTCAGCTGTAACATTTTATATTCTCTGTTCCCAGTTCATTTTAAGTGCTGACATTCTTGTAATATTAAAAATAAAAATGTGTAAGTGATGTTACATAAGAAACCAAAAAGCTTGGAACTCATAGTCAAATAGAAGAAGGATTCCCTAAGGGTGATGAAGTTCTCTAGCTGTTATCCTGCTTAAGGATGACAGTTTGCACACTGTATTAAGTCATGGAACACTACTGAGCCTCGTCGGGGTTCATGGTCTTTCAAAAGAATTGGCCTAGTAATACACACAGAAAAAACTAAATCAATGAAGAATGAGCATTGTTCACACTATGACGTGCAGCTGGGTTGACAGCTCATTGAATTAGCCCATTAGTACATGCAGACTGACACTGAGCTTACCAAAAAAGTGAGTAGAAGTAGGAAAAATCAGGCTAGGTTGCACCTAGGGAAATGACACCGAGTTTTCAATGATCCCCGTTGTTGCAAAGCCCATATTTCTCACGGTGATACCATCTGGTTGTAAACCACAGAACACCACATACTCAGGAAGATAATGAGCGCACATGACTCCCAGGGCAATGGAAAGATGTAAGGTGGGTTCGAGCAGGTTGCAGCGTGTTATCAACAATGGCTTGTGTTTAACAAATGACATTTAAAACATATTGACCAGGAAAGAAGGTGGGTCAGTTATGTATCAAGATCAAAAGCTAACAGACGGACAGCTTGAATGTTGAACTGGAATCTATTAAATATTCAAATAAACAAAAGGAGCCCTACAGCATATAAGGTGGAACCTGTGCAGAGGATTTATGGAAAGAGATGGAAAAGAGTTATGTGGGGATGAAATATTAGGGCCTGGCTGTGATTAATGTTAGTGGACTGAATACTTACAACAAAGAGATTCACACTGACAGTGTTAACTAGCAACGTAAAAGCCACTTTTAGGGGCAGCTAGGTGGTGCAGTAGATAGAGCACCGGCCCTGAAGTCAGGAGGACCTGAGTTCAAATCTGGTCTTACAGCAAACACTTGACACTAGCTGTGTGACCCTGGGCAAGTCACTTAACCCTAATTGCCTAAAAAAAAGTCACTTTTAAAAGGCCTTGGTGCAGTCAGCTGGTAAAAAGGGCCAACAGTTTCCATTTGAGCTTGCTTTTTACTAAGGATGAAATTAAAGGACTAGTCTGTGCTCATCCATGGCCTTAGTAGGACTTTCTCTTCCTTACCATCAATTTCTCTTCTTCCCAAGAGGGCAGTCACTCAGCAAACTCTAAACTAGATCAATCTGTTTTAGGTTCTAATATGGAGCTTAGAGATGACAGGTAGCTAGGTGGGGCAGTGAACAGAGTGACGGATCTGAAGTCAGGAACACCTGAATTCAAATTTGAGCTTAGATACTTAATAGCTGTATGGCCCTGTGCACGTCACTTAACCTTTGTTTGCCTCAGTTTCCTCATCTGTAAAATGAGGATAATAATAAGGTTTCTCTCTCAGGATGGTTGTGAGGATGAAATGAGATAGTATTTGTAAAGGGCTTTGCAAACACATAAATGCTAGCTAAAAAAGACAGATTTGTTTCAGATATGATCACCATCACTCCTCCTGAATTCTATTACATATTTGAGAAGATAGAAGAGCAAAAACTTGGCTTTGGGAAATCACTGAGAAGGTACTAAGATGATTAAGATTGATCCTGTATCATTTTCTTATTGATCCTATTTACAATTAATTTATTTTGTCCTGTACCTGCTTAAGTCACAGTTCTTTGTCGTTCAAACTGGCTTGTAATGGGTTAAGTTTAAAAATCCAGCTTTATTGCCCAAGGAATTTTGTGAACCTCGGGGAATGTATGAGAAAGCAAGAGAGTTTGGGCCTGATATCTTTACTCAGCCAAGCTGTCCTTCAAAGATGTCTGGTTTGCTGTCCAAAAGTCTCTGGGCTATCTCGCACCTGGTCTCAAAGAGCATTTCTTAGTATCATGAGAGAAGAAGGTGGGGTGAGGTCATTGCTAGCCCCCATTACCAAACTTCTAATCATTCATGTTGTTCCCTGAGCCTCAGCTCTGTAACCAGTCACATAGTCCTTAATCCCATGATGTCATCTACTCTGCTCTGTTCTTTGTTCTTTATTCCTCAAAACCTATAAAAGGGGAACTGTCCTCTTTCTTAGGGCATTTGACACGAATGGAGGCAACCCATTGACCTGTTATTGACAGGTAGCATGCTCCTGCTAATAAATGTTATCTTGCTCAGAAACCTGCCTCAGTTTACCCTTTTGTTAAGTTCCAATCACAACAGTACTAGAACCAATGAGGATCAAAACCTATTTGATATTTTAAAAAACATATTTGATCCCAGCTCAGTGAAGGAAAAGCAGCTCATTCTAAAGGATACAATCATACATTTTGTTTGGAGGAGGAAAAATTACTACCTTGGTACTTACTAAAACACTTTATTATATAAAGCACGTATAAGCCAGGTCTGTCCTGGTTTGCCTGGTGTCTTATTTCCTCATCTAAAAAAAATGAAGGAATTGGACAAGAAGATCACTAAAGTTCCTTTTCAGAAGTATGTTCCTGTGGCTCTCAAATTAACCTATTTAAGACAATAATTTTCTTAAAAGCATTTTTAAACCAGCTACATGTATATAATGAGCTTGTAAGATTTAAAGCTGGAAGGGATTTTAGAGCCCACCTGGCCTAACCCCCTCATTTTACAGATGAAGAAACTGAGGTCTACAGAGTGACTAACCCAGTCACATGTGTAGTTAAATGGCAAAGCGGACATTCAAACCCCATTTTAATCAACAATCATTTAGAAATATATTTTTTAAAAATTCAGATGGTTGTACTGACCCTCTCCCATCCCTAGTTAGTTTGAATCACTGAGGTTCTCTATATAAAATGGAAATGATAACACAGGCTAAAAAGAAAACAGTAGCACAGATAATTTCACAAGAACAATGTCCTCTGGTCATTCTTTCCCTCCCCTCCCTGGACAAAATGGGAGCACATGCCATGTCAGGTGTTTACCTTTATGAGCTGGAGCAGAAATTGCCATGGGAGTGAACTCATCTAGAAGGTCAGCAGCTGGGTTAGAAAGCAGAGAGGAATCAAGAAGGGAATCTTCCCCAGGGAGAGAATCTGAGTCCGGAAGAAAAGGAGGCCGGGAGCATGAAATGGCACACACAACAGAGAATGCAATTAGACTGTCAACCTTTGCATTACCAGCTTGACACCTCATTCACACAACTCACAACAGCAGCAACAACAAACTCAGGGTCTTCACAACAATGACGAACAACATTTATACAGGGCTTTAAGTCTTGCAAAGCATTTTACATGGCATCCTAAAAGTCTTAGTGCAGTTTTAAGTAGTTGTTTAGTAAATGTTTTATCATTCATTAGCAGGTAGATATAGAAGACTTCTCTCCCAAAGCCATCAACTTCCCATAGAACTTGAACGGAAATATTTTTCATGATGAAAACCAGGGCAGAGTCCCAACCTGTCCTTATTTGTCATCTCTACATCACTAATGCTGTTCATCAGAGCTTCTGTATCTCCTGTTTTAAAGACTGTGAAAGGTCTTAAAATTAAAGTGTCCAATTCAAAACTTATACCGAGATGAATTTTGATCAGTCTCTGTCTCTATCCCTCTCTCCAAATGCCAACAAATTTGTTTTAATCAGGCATTTTACTTTAGTCTATATGAAGGTGACAAATTCAATGCTTTTCCTGTAGGATTTCCCAACTCCATGTCACTACAATGGCAGAGCTGTATTGAGCATCTAAACAGATCCTGATTTTTCCCTAAAATTACCTTCAAGTTCAATTTTTAAAAATCTCATATACGTGATCAAAGCTTTGTGTAAGGAACATAATTCAGGTGTACACTTCCAGTTGAGTCTACTTAATGAGCAAATAAAGTTGGTCTAATATATTCAGAGTGATAAAGGTTTACTCTCTTTCCCATAAGGTTGTATCAACCAATGGTGTTCCACACCAAAAGCATTGCCACATCACATAACCAAACAGCTACAAAATTGTAAAACTCCCAAGTGATATTGTTAGGTCAGTCACTCATTCATTTGTAAGGTGGTTTTCGAGGCGTTAAATGCCTTGTACAATGCTGCTTCGCCTACTCACGTTCTTGTGAACCTAATTAACAATGTTAGATAGGCTATGCCTGAAGAGGAAAGAATATATGGTTGTTTTACTAGTTAGATAACTAGAAGAGAAGAGAGCTGTCTTATAAGTTTCATAAGAAAGCTGAGGGAAACAGTGGTGTGGAACCTACTGGTCATTACAATCGACATAAAAGCAGTCTATCCTTCATATAGCGAACAAGTTACTGAAGCTAAGCTGAAGCTGAGAGTATAATTAGTAGCAACTAATCTTATGGAAAGTAAAAGGAACCAGTTTGCACAAAAATCACTTCCTCAATCTTGATTTAATGTGGATGGGAGCCAGACTGGCTCTACTCATTGGAAGGGGACTGGTTCTATAGTCAGAACAAAACCCACAGGCTGACGAGTCTTATCTCCATGACCAAATGCTGCCATTTGAGGAGAAACTTTACTAACCTGTTCGGTTGGATGTGACAGAGTCAGTCTGAGATGGGAGGCGCTGGGGCATTGGGGGCTCCAGTCCTGGTATGAGACTTTCAACAGCAACATCAACTTTTCCTTTGGCAGCAGTGTTTAAAAAAAAAATCAGAGGAAAGGGGAGATAAATTATAGGGAGCCAGAGGGAGACTGAAAAGCACTGGAGTCGTAGTCAGAGGACTGGGGTTCAGATCCCAGTTCTGCTACTTATTAGCTGTGTAATCTTAAACAAGTCATTTTCCTCTTTGAATCTCAGTTTCCCCATATGTAAAATGAGGAATTTGATTAGATGATCTCTAAGGTCCTTCTCAGGTATAAATGCTATGATCTTATGAGAGGCTAGGGCAGTTAATCCCTGAATAGCAAGGGGCCCTGTGCATAGAAGTTTCAGTCAGTGGGCTTGAGAACTATGTCATAGGAGGAAAAGCTTAAGGTATTTTGTGATGTTTAGCCTGAAAAGAGATGTAGGAATTGATAGCAATCTTCATTCTTTTTTGAGCTCTTCACTGCTATCTTTCCAATCAGATCATAAGTTCCTTGAGTAGAATCTCATGTGTCTTTCATAACTTTGTCTTTCTGATAGCACCTAGCATAGTGCTGTATATACTGCCCATAATTATGTTCTAATTGGTGAGTATGTAGTTCTAAGGTACCATCCCCCTTTAAAGTTTTCATATGGGACAGTTTGGTGCTGAAAGAGGCAGAAACATTACTTTTGCATAAAGACAAAAGAATTCTATTAATTAGTTAAGGATGTAAGGTATTGTCTTTTTATAGCTAAGCGGTTTTGTGTCTAAAAGGAATAAGAAAATAATATTGGTTTAATAAAAATTATTATAATTTATGTGCAAAGAAACACAGTTTCATCCAGGCTATGAGCAGACTGGTTGCGAAATGGACTGAGAATGAACTGTGGCATAAATATGAGGACTTAAATAACCTTGTGAAGGATGTGGAGTGATGTCTTTTTTGTATGTTTAATGATTCAAAGGGGAAGAGAAAATTTTGTTATTTATTAAAAGCTCTGAGTATAAAAACACTGTTGCTAGAGGCACAGTTTTAGAGACTATGGAATTATTGAAGCTCCAGTCTCTAAACTCATTTGCATGGAACTTTTAAGACTTAAGAGGTTAAAAACTTGCACAGTAAAAAATCATATAACTGTTTAGATATTATGAGATCATTAAATAAGGAAAGGGGGGAATGGTGAATTTTTACCTTAAAAGTGAAAGGCACTGAATAATAGTTTGCCCTTAATTAAAGCTACTGAAAGTAGGGAAGAGTAAGTAGAGGGTGAATACTAAGAAATTGACAAGTGAAAACTGAAGAAAGGGGCGGGTGGGGAGAAGACAGTGGGAAAGGTCAGCTCTTCTGGAGCTCTGAGAAGTGGCAGCTGAAGCAGCTGACTGACAGAAGGCTTCCGCCTCGAGATTCCTGATTGGCTAAGGAAAGACTAGCGCTCATTGGACAAGAGTATTAGCCTTAGTTATTGCTCTTCAGTGCCTCCTAGAGCTTGAGAGAGATGAGGCCTTTCAAAAGTGCATGTAGCTTTCCCCCACCACGTCAGCGTGAGAGAGGAAAAGAGAGGTTTGGCAGCTAATCTGCTGAGCGCTGTTTGGTCAATGCAGCATCCTGCAGAGTAAAGGCTATCTGGGCTTGTCTGCATTGTCCAAAGAGAGCCAGTTTAAGGAGTTGGGTATTTTTCTGGCTTAAAGAGAACTGCTAGCTAAATTAAGAGTATAATACTTTCTCAGCACTCTTTTAAGAGTGATTATAAGCTGAAAGAACTTGTAAATGCTTCACTGGTTCAGGAATAGGAGAAAAGTGGGTTTGCTGAGCTGAAGAATGGTGAGAATCAGAAGCGGGACAGTTAGCAAAGATGGGGCTTCACGCAGTATAGGTGTTCCTGAATGGAAAAATGTTTTCAAAGCCTGCCGTCCAGAGTAGTAATTAACTCAAACACATGGATGTTCCTTCTTATGTGCTTGCCTGCCACGTTTCTATAAGTCTGTAACCATTTTCCCCAGCAGTTAGGTGAGTGTGACCCTAGTTAATGAGTGAATTGTCATGTACTTATTATTCCTGAATTTACATTAATATTGAGTATCTGATTTTTTTTTGCCTTACTACAACATTGAGAGTAAATGGTATAGCTTATAGGTAGGGGCTCAAGAACTAAAATGAAGAGCATAGAGAGTATATTCCCCCATAACAAGATTACTCCTAGGACTCTGAGAGTATTTGAATGGGGTAGAGGTCTCTTGTTTGGAAATACAAACCTGTCAGGGGGAGGACAGGTTGGAGAAAATGAGACAGCAAGTTAAGTGTCCCTTTGACCTGCATGAGAAGTGTAAGTCACTATATGATGATCACACAAGATCTACTCCATGCACCTGTTACATATACATATATGAAATCTTCTTCATTTATAGGCGATATAGTAAAGAAGTCAGAAAGAATAATGAAATCCACAAATACTTAGCTATGTTGACTAAGTACTGTCACATAGAGAAATTACTTTACCTGGGGACCAAATTATATTTATGTCTTAATTTTTTTTTTTGGCTAGGCAATGGGGTTAAGTGACTTGCTCAGGGTCACACAGCTAGTGTTATGTGTCTGAGGCCGGATTTGAACTCAGGTCCTCCTGAATCTAGGACCAGTACTCTATCCACTATGCCACCTAGCTGCCCCTATTTTTGTCTAATATGAGAGCTAGCACATTGGATGATCAGGTCGGGATTTAAAAAATTTAAGCCAAGATGTTGGACTGAATTTGATAAGAGGAAATGTAACAGGGATAAATATGTAGTCTTACAGGGGAGGCATGTCTAGATAGCAGTTCCTCTGAAAAGGATGTGTAAGTTTTGTGGATTGCAAGCTCCACATCCATCAACAGTGTCATACGGCAGCCAAGAAAAGTAATGAGATCTTGGGCCACAGTAATAAAAGTATAGCATTCAAAATGAGGGATGTGACAGATAGTCCAAATGGATTATGCCCTGATCAGACCACACCTACAGTAATGTGTTTATAGGGGTGCACAGAGATTGAGCCAAAATAGGCACCTTGATCCACCTTCTATGCATGCTTATGATTGGTTTTTGATCCATGGGTCACATTTTAGGAAGAACGTTGATTAGTTGTAGAATATCCAGAAGATCAAACAAGATTAAAATGGCCCTGAGATTAGGCCATGTGACGTTCAGATTAGGTGAAAGAGATGTTGACCTTAGTGAAGAAAAAGTTTGGGGGTGGGGGTGGGGGATAGTAGCCTTACATTGAGTAGATATTTAATAAGTGTTTGTGTGATTAAAATCATAAAATTAAAAGTTTCCTACATTAAAAAATATTTCACATGTAAAATAATTTCCATAATGTTTTTGCTTGTAACAGTGTGTTTGAGGTTGGTAGTACATTAACCTCTTTTCATAGATGGAGAAACTGAGGCTCAGAGACTTGCTAAGATCACACAGCCAGTAAATGATGGAGGTGGGCCTTGAGCCCAGTCCTCTTTCCATATGCTTCAGCAGTCTTCCATGCTTTACTAGATCCTGCCACAGCACAATAAAATACTGGGTTTGCTAAGCAGCTTCCTAATTCTTTACATAAAACTCTTGAAACACCAAGGCATGCACCCCACATCAAGACAGTGACAGAAAGGGAAGGATTTTTTTTATTATTATTACCATTCACAGCATCTGAAGAGCTACCAAAGGGATCTGCCAGAGGTAAGAGGTCAGGAAGGAGAAGTGAAGTACTGGGAGATTTGAGCCCCTCGATAAGCTTTTCTGGGTTAGAGAGAAAGGGAGGAGAAAGGAGAAAAAAAGTCAGTGAGACAACAAAAGTAAAACTTGTCATTTCTCATCGTAAAGGTACATCAAAGTTTCTTCGCTCAAACTCGAGAGGAAATCCTAGTATATATGAACATCACTAATAACAAAGTAACCATGAGTAGAAATCAGTGAGTAAAAAAAATACAACTTGGAAAAGAGAAAATAAAAGCCACATGTTTCTCTGGTATCAAGAACTAGGATTATGTTATGTCAGCATTCTAAAGAGATAGGAAGCTGTATTTTAGCAGGCAAGAAAGTTCAAGGGAAAACATTAAGAAGTGAGAGGTAACCAAGATCTTGAGTGGAGATCAAATCATGGTGGAAAGGACCATTTAGGGTGGAGAACAGAAGACTTGGCCAAGGCAGGGGGATAGAGTACTGGGCCTGAGGTCAGGAAGAACTGGCTTCAGATCCAGCCTCAGACACTTACTGTCCGTGTCACCCATGGCAAGTCACTTAACCTCTGTTTGCCACAGTTTCCTCATTTGTGAAATGGGGACAATAACATCACCTACCTTCCAGCGTTGTTATGAGGATCATATGAGATAATAATTGTAAAGTACTTAGCATAGTACCTGGAACATAGTAGGCAATATAAATGTTTTTATTATTACTATTAACATTATTATGCTTAGCATAGTACTGGCATGTAGTAAGCATTATATAAATGTTAGCTGTCATTATCATCGTCATAGCACTTTAGCACAGTGCCTGGCACAGAGTTAGCGCTGGATAAATGTTAGCTATAGAAAAGCTCTATCTTTTAGGTAGCCATAGGACTGTCGTGTGGAAGAAGGATTATACTTGTTCCTGTTGTTCCAAAAGACAGAATTTGGGCCAAAGAGTATCATTTAAAGGGAGGCAGACTTTGGCTCATTATAGAAACAATCAGAAAGGTCCAACAGTGAGGCAGGCTATTTGTCATTAGTGAAAGCGGCAAAGCAGAGGAAGGATCACTACCCATTATCAGGGTTGCTATAGAGGGAATTCCTGTATCAGGTCAGAGATTGGTTGGACTAGACAACTTCTAAAGTTCCACCGATTTCTTGGATTCTGTGATTCTAAAATCCTCCAAATGTCCACTGGATAGGTTTCGTTTTCAACCTGAGTCCAAAGGCAATATTTACACAGCATCCTGCCATATTCATAACATTCAAACCCAGCATTTTGTAGAATCTAATTTAGATATAATATCATGGACACCTATATAGTGTATTATAGTTGCAAAGGGCTCTAAGATATCGTCATTTATTCATTTGTGTAAAGTGATAAGAATAGAAATAGGTAATATAGCCTTTGACAGAACACTGGACTTGGGAGTCAGAAGACCTTGACTCAAATCCTGCACCAAGCACATGCTAGCTGGGAAACTATGGACAAGTCATTTAATGTTTTTAAGTCAATAAAATTGGGGGGGGGAATATTTGTATTTGCTACCTCACAGGGTTGCTGTTTTAAGGAAAGCACTTTGTAAACCTTAAAATGTGACTTATCTTTCATAGGAATATAACATCTTAGTCCATGAGTGAAGGTAGAAATATCATCATCAGAAGCAAAAAACAAGAATAATTTATGTTTATTTGAGTTTTTGCAAAGTTTACAAAGCATTTTTCTTCCCAAAATGGTCAGGAGGGCAATTTGGAATAGTGGCAAGAGTATTTGAGGTTAGGAGACCTGTGTTCAAATCCTACTCTGAAATTTATTAGCTGTATAACTTTGGACAAGCCATTTTACTTAAATGAGCTATTGTTTTCTCATCTGCAAAAACGGAGATAACAATATTTACACTAGTTACTCACAAGGCTGTGGTAAATTAATCTTAAAAATAGGCTTTTAAGTGGGCTGGCCATGGAGGGGCATACCAGTATGCCTGCTATTGGGTGAGGCTGACGCTGGAGGATCGCTTGAGCGCTGGAGTTCTGACCTGAAGTAGGCTAAAATATATCAGGTATTTGCACCAAGTCTGGCATCAATATGGTGAGTGCCTAAGATCAGGGGGCTACTAATCTGCCTTTGGAGGAGTTAGTATCATTATCACCATCATCATCATCATCATCGTCATCATCATCATCTTGCTCAGTCACATAGCCAATAAGTGATAAAGCCAGGATTTGAAAACAGGTCTCCTAAGACTATGAGATCTGAGAATGAAGAATATCATCCAAAGAAACATTTAATTTGGCATGGCTGTTTGGAGAAATAATAAAATGAATAGATAAAAAGGACTTTAGAAATCACTCAGTCCAAATTCCTGATATAGTAGGAAACTGAACACTGGGGAAGGGACATGGCTTGCCAAAGATCACACTGAGAGTAAGCAGTATAGCTTGGAGAAATCTCCAAAGTGTATCAAGGCTGGGGTGCTTTCAGTAATAATAATAGCTAACATTTATATAGTGCTTTAAAGTTTAAAAAGCATTTTCCTTACATTATCTCATTTGATCCTCAAAACAACCCTGTAAAAATATTATTAGATCCATTTTACAGATAAAGAAACTGAGGCCAAGAGAGGTCAACTGACTTGCCTAGAGTCACACAGCTGGTAGTATCTGAGGCAGGATTCCAGCTCATATTTTACTGATTCCAGATCCAACACTCTATCTATCTTAACTGAAAAGAGAGCCAGTCTTTTTGGCTTTTGTGTTGTTAGAGGGAGTAGGAAGAGAAGCCTTAGTGGACAGAGTCTGTGTCACATTAGGGGAATAGCCATGTTCCCATATGAGTCTATGCCAAAGGGATATGGCTTGACAGGGGAAATCCCTACTCTACTTGTACTTCATTGTTTAAGTTACGAGCTCTGTAAAGGAGAGTTGTAATCTCAGACAAGATCAGCAACTGAAGTTTTATGTAATGGCAGAAAGGAGAGAGATGGAAGGGAGGGGAGAGATATAGAAGGAGAGAGGAAAGAAAAGGGGAAGGGAGGAGGAGGAGGAGAGAGAGGAGAGAATGAATGGGGGAGGGAGAGAGAAGGAAGGCAGGAAAGATAATGGGGGAGTAAGAGAGAGAATAAGGGAAGGAAATAGGAGAGACAGACAGAAGAGAGCCAGAGCGGGGAGGGGAGCGAGGGAGAGAATGGAATGAGAAGGGGAAGGGAGAGGGAGAAAATCACTGAGTTCAATTATGTTAGCCAAAAGAAGACATTAGTCAAGAGGTCCAAGCTATGCAATATAATGGAGAGAGTGCTGGATCAGGAGCCCCAAGTGTGAATAGAAGTTCTGATGCTTTTAAGTTATATGACTCTGGCCTGGGGTAGTAGAAAGAAGACTTAAGAGTCAGAGGATTTGAATCCTGGCCCTATTTCTTACAACCTTGGACAAATCACTTTCCCTCTCTGGCCCTGCCCTCCCTCCCTTCCACCTTGTAAAACCAGGGGAACAAAATAGAGAATCTTTAAGGTTTTTCCAAGTTCTAAGTCTTGTTCCTGTCACCTAAACTCCTGGGCCTTAACTTCCTTGTATATAAAATGGGAGAAATAATATTTGCATTATCAATCTCACAGGGTTGCTCTGAAGAAAGTTCTATAAACCTTCAGGTGCCATATGATTGGGAATTGGTATAACAAGTCCCGGGAGGATAATTTTTTTTTTTTTTTGCTTTTTGGTGAGGCAATGGGGGTTAAGTGACTTGCCCAGGGTCATACAGCTAGTAAGTGTCAAGTGTCTGAGGCTGGATTTGAACTCAGGTCCTCCTGACTCCAAGGCCGGAACTCTACTGCGCCACCTAGCTGCCCCCCCATCCCGAGGGAGGTCAATTCTGAGAGCAATACAGGGAAGGCCCCGAAACAAAAGGGTCTCCCACACCAGGTCTGCAATCTACTTGTTGCAGAATATGCAGAAATAGTTGCTTTTTCTTTCATTCCAATAAAACTTTCTTTTGAGATACTGTAAAATGGAAATGCTGGGTATCAGACAAAATCCCTGTAAATGGAGAGATTGTCCCTTAGTTTCCAAGTCAGGGACTGAGCCAAATAATGTGCAGCCTTCACAAATAGCAATAATACTTCAATAACTGAAAGATGTATGATATAGTTCACAAAGTGGCTCTCCCCCTCCACAGAACCACATGCAACCTCTCTATGACTTAACAGATGGTCTTGAGAGTGGCTGTGGGTTAAAAAGTCATCACTGTTGGGCCAACCCAGTGATAAGTCTCTCCTAAGTTAACTAGGGTGGTCTTTGGATCACCAGCTCCAGACACAAAGTTATTCTAGCTTACTAAGATTTCACAGACCTTGTGTTCCACTTTGAGAACCAAGGGTCATTGCCATGCTTTGGAAAGGTACAAAAGTAAAATCTTAGAAAGGAAAATAATAATAATGATATTGATAATGATGATGACTCACATTTCTGGGACACTTTACGATTTACAAAGTGAATTCTTTACAGTTTGGGCATATAAGTATTATTAACCCTTTCTTATTGGTCTAGACCTATGATTTCATTGTTGTCAGGCGAGAGGCAGATCAGCAGCTCATCTTCAACTTATAGTCTAGGGTGACTTGCCCAGGGTTTCACAACCAGTATGTGTCAGCGTATAGATTCTTTAGTTATTGTCCAGGGTCACACAGCTAGTAAATACCAGATACTGTATTTAAACTTCTATCTGCTGATTCTAAGACCAGAGCCTTTTTCACTACACATCCTAAATGGGTATCTTTGACACAAGGCTGAAAAACCAATCTAAAATTTCTAGAACTTATAGTTAAAAAGGGCAAATTCCAACAAAATGTCAAGGTGACAAAGACATTTCTCATCTTAGGGCTGATCTATGCTGACACAGAAGCCAAAATGCATCCTGGTAAAAGAAAACAGGGGAAAAAACAATCAGTGTGATGATCAAATGTCCAAATGAGGTCAAATCAAAATTAACCCTGCCATGTGCTTGACATTATTTTATTATTAGAAAAGGAGAAGGAGATTAAAAAAAAATCTCCAGCCACTCTCAGCAGAATGGCA